AGGTGCTCCAGGGCCACCAGCCTCAGGCTAGACTAAGGACTATGGCTGAGAGTCCCCCCCTCATTTTCGTCTCCCTCCTCTTAGTCTCACCCTTCCTAATCAGGTTCCCATGCCTTGAATGCCTGTCTCATTTCTTCCCTGGTGTCTTAGGGTTTCTATTGCTGTGAAGAAACACCATGACCACAGCATCTCTTATAAAGGAAAATAATCAATTGGGTGGTATTTACCGTTCAGAGGTTCAGTTCATTGTGATCATGGCGGGATATGGTGGCGTGCAGGCAGACATGCTACTGGAGAAGTTGCTACGAATCCTACATCTTGCAGGCAAAAGGAAGTGGACTGACTCACTGTTTGTGGCTTGAACATATATGTGACCTCAAGGCCCACCCCCACAGTGACACACTTCCTCCAACAAGACCCTACCTACTCCATCAAGGCCACACCTCCTACTAATACCACTCCCTATGAGATTATGGGAGCCAATTACATTCAAACTACCACACTTGGGAACAAGTGGGGTGTCCCTGACCATTTCCCAGACAACCTCTGCAGCCACAATATGTGTTCTGGTGACTCACAGTAAGAAAGCAGGGCAGACACTTCCTACTGGGCCGAGTCCCTATACCCTACCCCACAGAAGAAAAGTGTCCTAGCTGCAGACTTCAGGAGCACTTCAGTTGGCAGAGTACTAGTCCTGGGACCCATGGTCTTCTCCATGCCCGCCATACATGGTGACTGTTGGTTTTTCATATCCACTCACTTCCAGGCAGTGAAGTTTCCTGGGGGCCTCCTCTTCCCTGAGCCCATGGATAGCTGTGCCCCAGCCTGGTCAGTCACCAGATTTTCCTCAATCTGTGATGGGCAAACAAGGTACTCCCACGTGTGGCCACTGGAGAGAAGGTGCAGGAGGGTGAGGAAGGCCAGCCCAGGGCAATCACAACATGAATGGGCTGTCGGGACTAGAACCGGAGTAGAGGTTTCAGAGCAAGGACAGGGAGAACGCCATTGCCATCCCAAGGCCCCGGTTCCAGTGAGGCCAGGTACGTCCCTGCTTTGATCTGGGAGCCATAGTGCTTCCTGTCTCCAAGCCTGTCCCACTAAATCTGCACCCCACACCAGCGGGGACCACGCTCTCCAGACACTGCAGGTGCACCCTCCTCACCACAGCCTCAGGGAGGCTCTGCTATCATCACTCACCTCGGCATTTACCCTCAGCCCCACCCTGTCCTCCATTCTGCTTCCAGACCCCCTCCCTGTGGGTCCCACCTCGGGAGAAGCCACTGGTCCAGAGGAAGCAGGAGGAGAGACACAGTGAGCAGACGCAGGCGTTCTGGGCAGACAGCAGCAAGGACTGCCTAGAAAAGTCAGGGAATATTCCAGAGCCCCACAGAACCTTCTGCAAGATGGGCTGCTCTTCCCTGGCTGATTGTAAACACTGGGTTCCCGTGAGATGAGGACCCGAGGCTTTTATACTTTATTGAATTTTAAGTAATTTAAATTAAAAAATGGAAACTCAAATCAGTTCAGATATTTTAGAACTACTTGGGTATGTAAATCTCTTTCGACGTAAACTCCATCAAATCTAAATGCAGATCAAGTGCTTCTGATAAAAATTGAGCTTTGGAATTGACACAGCCAAAAGTATAAAACTCATCAGATTTCAGAGCCTTAGCACAACACAAGAGTATGAGAACCATTCGCTGATATTTTTACACTGGTTACCTATGGGATGGTAAATGTTTTTGACATGTTGGGTTAAAGTGAATTAGATAAATATAGCTAAATATTTAACATACACATAAACTATCCCAATTAGCATTAACTGTCATATTGTATCACCCAAGAAAATGTCTCAGTTGAGTAGTTATCTCTATTAGATGGGTTTGTCAGTGTGTCTGAAGGGATTGTCTTCATTACTGATGGGGCCGGGTCAAGCCCACTGTGGGCAGCACCATTCCTAGGCAGGTGATCCTGGGCTGTATAAGAAAACTAGCTAAACATGAGCCTAAGAACAAACCAGCAAGCAGTGTCCCTCCATGGTTCCTGCCTCCATCTTCTGCCTTGAATGGCTGCTCCAATTTCCTTCAGTTGCGAAGGTCAGACTGTGACCTGGAAGTGTAAGTCAAATCCTTTCCTCTTCAGGTTGCTTTTGGTCAGAGTGCTTCATCATAACAGAAAGGAAACTAGAATATTAACTAAATTTAATTTCTCATTAATGGGACTAGTGTAAGTTTTTAAATTACCTACATGGCTTATGTGATCTTTCTATTTTATGGTCCTTTTTGAGAACATACTTGGATGGAGCAAGAAGGCCTCCCTGAAGACAAAATATTGACACTGAGACCTTCAGGAATAGAAAGGGTCTGGCACCTGGGGCCAGGGGAACCAGCACATGCAAAGTCCCTGAGGCAGGATACTTCTGGCATGCATGAGTCAGCAAGGGAGAAAGAGAACTTCTTTGGACAGAAGAACTAGGGACAAATTGTAGACAGAGCTCAAATTTCCTATCTCAGGTGCTCTTCTGCATATGAGTGACAGGGCCACTTGTCTCTCTCTCTCCTTCATCCATTCTCAGTTAGAAAGTGAATGTGCCTCAGCACACTGCGTCAGTGAGGAAGCTGTGCTGTGACTTGATTTCTAGTGTGCAAAAGTTGCTCCTGGAACCATGCTGAGGACTGCAAGTAACAACAGCCAGTTCAGTGGCACCACAGGCACATGACAGTTTTCCACTCAAGAAACTGGAGCCCTGGGCCCCGCCGACTTGGGGGATGCTATGCAGTCTAAGAGGGGAAGAGACACAGACTCCCTCCCCTGGTTGCATGGGGCAATGGGTAAGGTCAGGGCTGGGGTGAAGGACCTGCAACCTCGGTGCTCTCAAGTCAGCCCAGCCTGCTGGCAGAGCCTGCACATATCCATGCTCCTGAGGCCGCGCTCCCATCCGTGGAATCAGGGCATCACATGGTCTTCTTGCCCCACAGCCACCGATCTGTGGAGGCCCACTAAAGAGATTACAGCTTGCCTTCTACAGACACCCTGGGCCTTGAGGCCAGCACCACTAATCCCGACAAAGGATAACAGCCACTAATTAATTCTCCGAATCTGATGGTGGCATAAACGCCAGCCAGGCTGCCCGCCTTAATGAGTTTAATCGACTGGACTTGATGATTTTATTTGAAACCTAGGGCCGCAAATTAAGCTCTTAAAAATGTACTTGAACTTGATTGGCAACTGTAATCCCAACAAAGTCAGTTTAATCCCTGGGCTGCTTGGGCAAGAGCAGCCTGCGTGGTGCTGCAGGCTCAGGAGCGCCCACAGGAGCCTCTACTTCCTTGGTGCAGCTGGCTGCCCTTGGCCTCGGCCCTAATCCACCCTACTGATCACATGGCAAACTCCTGTTCACCCTTCACACCCCAGTCAGAGTGACTCCTGAGCCCTTCCTGAGTTCCCCTTACAGCTCCAAGTGCCACCCCTCTGTCTATAGCCACCCCCTCCTGCCACACTGTGCCCTCTAGAGTCACTCTTGAAAGCTGCTGGCTGGGCATTGGGAGTGGCCAGTTTGACACCACTGGCTCCCTACACGTGTCCTGTGGCCTCATGTCCTTTTGGAGATATCTCCCTCACCTGCACCCACAAGGTCCCTGTCTGCTATCCAGGACAGTTCCTTCCAGCTGGCCTGTCCTCACACGTAGCCTCTGCACACAGTAAGCCTGGTCCCAAGCTGTGGAAGGTCCAGCACAGTGTAATACATCCCAGTCCAGCTCAGCCCACAGCATCCGCCCAGTTTGCTAGTCTTTCAAAGGAGTGCTTGGACCATTGTGTTGGAGGTAGCCGATATACACTCCAGGTTTTTGATCCTCCCACCTCCATGGTCCACCCCTCCACACAGCTGCGTGATGTTCTTCCTTTGGTCCTCATGGCCTCAACACGTTTAGCAGTACCCAGCCTCAGTCGTCAACTTCCCAAGACTAGTCCCTGACCACAGCCCTGGCTCTGTCAACTGCCCTGCCCCGGTCAATTGTCCTATCCTCAGCCTTTCTCTAGGTATTCCTCCCTCCAGACTTGTGGAGGTGACTGAGCAATCCAGAGGGCACAGGACACTGTACTTACACTACACACACACACACACACACACACACACGCATACATACACACTCACACACATAAGCACTCACTGTGCTCTGGTCACAGAACAACCTGCCCAAAGAAGGCGACCTGTTTGTGCTTCTCTGAATGGTTTTCCCATCAGATTGGACTTGCTGTTTTTGTTGGTGAGACCTAAAAGCATACTTCCTGCCCACAGCAGGCACACCTGGAGGACTAGCTGAGTGTCTTCAAATCAGCTCAGACAAGGGAGCTTTGTTCTCACAGTGGGGGCATGTCCCCACATACCACCTATCCTAAAGTCATCTTAGTGAATGATCTGGCTCTTAAATACACCAAAGCTTCAGGGTGGGGAGGGAACCTGTGATTTGGAGCCCTGGTAGTCACAGGCCTGGAACCCTGCATGTCCCACCTCCTGTGCCCACTACATCCGGTACCCATATCGCCATCTGCATTGCCCTTCCACCCAGGAAGCTGGTGCTGCTATTCTCTGCCCCTCCCCCCAGCATGCACACTAGGAGCAACCCCAACTCCCCACACCACCTTACCCCGTCCTGCAGCATCCTGGACCTGATCAACAGCAGGATGCCTGGACCCCTGGGCTCCTCACTCCTGTGACCAGAGGCCAGTGTTTTGATGAAATTTTCAGCCGCTATGCATCTTTCAGGAGCAGGGAGGCAGGGAGTTGGCGTAGGGGTGGGGAGTCAGGGGGGCGGGAGTCAGTGGGGGCGGGGGTCGGTGGGGTGAGGAGTCAGTGGGGGCGGGGAGTCGGTGGGGGCGGGGAGTCAGGGTGGGTGGGGAGTCGGTGGGGGCGGGGAGTCAGGGGGGTGGGGAGTCAGGGGGCGGGAAGTTGGCATAGAAAAGGGTGTTCCCTGGACACTTTCCTTCTTTCCTCCTAGGAGGCCCAGCTAGGACAAGCCAAGGCAGAGAAGCTAACCAAGCCGGACACCCCCTGGCTGTCAATCTGTCCTGGTCAGGACCAGAGGGGCCGCTTCCAGCCACTGCCTGCTGGGTCCATTCAAATTCTAACCTACAATCCTGAATTTCAGATGCTAACTCAAGACAGAAAGGTGGAAAATTAAGGGGCATGAGGAAGGGAGGAAGCCCCTCACCCTGGGACCCAGGCTGCCTTCCTGCTGACTGAGTGTCAAGAAACTTCAACATAACCAATAAAATCAAGTTGCCTATAGAGATGATGCCTGCTTTTCTTAAAGACAACTCAAACAACTCAAAACCAAGCAAGTTCTGCTTACTTGAGGACAGAAAATTTGTCACCTGGAGTTTGACTCTGAGCCATCTTGCCTCCATCTAAAAGCAAAGCGCACAGCCTTTGGTAATTTCACCCTTTAAAGAAAGAGAAAGAAGTGAACCAGCTCCGTGCTTCATGCCTTAAGTTAGTTAATCTTTAAAGCCTTCGAGTAAATCATAGCCTTTGAGCAGTGACTTAGAAAACCCCAGGATCAAATGAAACAATTTTAAATACACCTAAGTGTGCCTCGCAGCCTTGCTGGTGTGCAAGCTGTCCTTTTCCCCCATGTCCCTCTGCAGTCTGGTGTTCAGGTGCAGGCTGTCTGTTAGGATTCTGTCACCTGGCAGAACGCGCTCAGGCAGTATCCTGGCTTATGGTGGAGGTTCAACCCAGGATATTTAAACTGCCCCCGGAGAACAGACTCGTGGTTTTTCCCTTTCCTGTCTCTTCTCTGGGGGGGCTGGAAGGTATCCAGGAACACTGTATCCATTAAACGTGGGCTTTTTTCTAATTTGGTTTGACTTAGTTTGATTCTATCCGGGTGTAGAAACTTTTCACCCTGGTCAGCCCAGGTGCAAAGGACCCCTTTAAAAGAAAGACCTCCACACACTTACACTGTCTTTCCCTCTCTCTTTCCTGCTGTTCCCCTGGGGCAGACAGGATTTTCCTGTCTCTCTCTTCTCTTGTCCTCTCTGTCTCTGTCTCTTTACTCCCCCCCCCCCTTCCTAATAAAACTTCTCATTAAGCTCTATCTGCCTGGCGTGTTTGTCCCTCTTCCTCCTCCTCGGTCACCCTCGCCTGCCATGGAATCCACCAAGGCTCCCCCTGTGCTTTATCATAACACTGTCCTTTTTCTATGTGTCCCTTTTAAACGCTGCTCTGCAAAATGAAGTGTGTCCTCTTGTCATCTTTCCCCCCTGTTTAACAAACTCACTAACTCACTTCACTCTGGCTTAGCCCAAAATTCTTTGCTTGAGTGTAGTCAAGGACCTGACCTCACCCTTGCGGAGGTCACTAAGGTCCAAGGAAACTCAAGTAGCTTGCAGCCATGCTGGGCAGTGGACACTGTCCCATCGGCAGACTCACGCTCAGCCAATTCTAGGAGCCCATTGTGGTACAGGATGCAGGTCATAAGGTCTGGCTGCCCAGAAAGGTCTGATTATTTCAGGAAGTGTTCCCCCTTCGCGGGAAGGAAGAACTCAGCCCGTGGCTTTCTGGCTCATTGCCTCTGTGTTATCTTATTGATTGGTACCCATTGATCTCTCTCGTAGTCTCGCTGCAGTTGACCATTGGTCTGCTTTCCTTCCCTTGGCGGCTTAGCCTGACTCAGGCTGGGTTGTCTTCATGCTCTTCGGAAGGTGGGGGCAGCTGAAAGTGCTATTCTTGTGCTTCTTCCTAGTTGCAATCTCGTTTTTTGCTTCCAGCGTCTCTCCCTGGGTCCTCATTTTCAGTCTCCTTAGCAGTTTCATCCTCAATCCTTGCTCCTTTGCAGCCTTCCGCTGGGCAGCAGCCATAGGCCCCATCCCTTCTATCACTCCATCTTCAACCCCACCCTCCTATCTCTTCCCATTTTCTACATTTGAAAGCTCTCCTCTTTCTTAAGTCTTGAATCTCTTTTTTTCTAAATCCACGTCATACATGACAGCATCCGTTCCCAGGTCTTGCTGAGTCCACCTATGGATGCTTTTTACAATGGGGGACCAAGGGAAGTGACAGTTGATGGTGGCACAGGATGACCCCGCCCAGGCAGACAGTGCCTACAGTTTTAAGGAGTGCTCAGGGAACTTCTCTGGGACCGTCATGCTCTGACCCTGCCTGGTGCATGGAGCCCCAAGTTCACCGTGTCACAATACACACACAGGAACTGTCCTTGGCCCAAGGTCCAGTCTCCTCTTCTGCAGTTCAGAGGCCATCATGGACAGGAGACAGGTTCACTGAGCCTCTGACACTGCAGATGGTGTCAGGAGTCCCAGAGGACCCCCATTTTGCAGACTTTGCAGGCTCTGACTTCCTTGTGGGTTTTCCTTCAAAGTCTCAGAGAAAAATTTACTCCAAATGAAACAGCTCTGAGCTCCCCTTTCAAAGTATTTGGGAAAATAGAATAGAAAGAGAGGAGGAGCCTAATTCCACCTCCGGCTTCATACTGCCAAAGGATGACATGACCACGCCCAGATGAAGCCAGACATCTGCTGTGATGTGAGGACATGGCCAGAACATGGCTTTCAGGCAAGTTGCACAATAGTGTTTGTGTAGTTGTGGTTCAAATCTGAAGTGTCTTAGAAGTTCATATGCTGAACACTTGTTCCCCACCTGGGAGCTGCTTGGGGCGGTGCAAGAGTCTTTAGGAGGTGGAGGACAGGACGGGAGTCCTAGGGCTGGGTCTTTGGTGGTTAGAGCCACACCCTGATTCTGTCGTCTCTGTTTCCTGGTCCTTTGTGTAAACAGCCTCTGTCACACCCTCTATCATCTACATACAGCCACTCCTCCTTGCCTTCCCTGCTACCAAGGACCGAAACCCCTGAAACTGTGAGTCCAAGTAAACCTTTCCTCCCTTCAGGTGTCCTGTCAGACATTACCACAGCAGCTAATCACACGATGTGACCTTTTCCACTCCCTTCAGGTGTCCTGTCAGACAGTGTCACAGCAGCACAGAGACTAATCACATGGTGTGTCCTCTTTCTAATGTGGCCCATTTCCATTCCTTCTATTTTTGCTTTATGCTTTTCTTAGGGAGAAGGAATTGGTACAGGGGTGTGTATGTGGATTTGTGTGTGGCGATGTGTGGGGCTGCGTCTGTGGGGATGCATGTGGGTACCCAAGGGAAGTGTGCATGTGGGGTGTGTGTATGTGGAAGTGCGTCTGGAGGAGGGGTGTGTGCGTAGGTGTGTAGAAGTGTGAGTATGTGGGTGTGTATATACAGAGAAGCTAAGTATGTGGAGCAGTGTGTGTGGGTGTGTGTTTAGAGAGATGTATTTGTAGGGTATATATGTGAGTATGTGTACGTGCAGTGTCTTAGTTAGGGCTACTGTTGCTGTGATGAAACCCCATGACCAAAAGGCAAGTTGGGAGGAGGTTTATTTGGCTTACACTTCCACATCACTGTTCACCAATGAAGGAAGTTAGGTCAGGAACTCAAACAGTCAGGGACCTGGAGGCACAAGCTGACGCAGAGGCCATAGAGGAGCAGTGCTCACTGGCGTGCTTCCCACGGCTTGCTCAGCCTGACTTCTTATAGAACCCAGAAAGACCACCAGTTCAGTGATGGCACCACCCGCAATAGGTTGGGCCCTACCGTGTCAATCACTGATTAAGAAAGTGTCCTACAGGCTTGCCTGCAGCCTGATCTCATGGAGGCGTTTTCTTAACCGAGGTTCCTTACTCTCAGATGACTTTAGCTTGTGACAAGTTGCCATAAAAACATCTAGCATAGGGAATATGTATGGGGGTATTATGTAGAAATTCATATGTGTGTGAGGGTGTATGTGGGGATATGTATGAGTGTGTATATGTGGGAGTATGTGGAGGTATATGTAAAGGTGTGGGTGTGTAAATGTATATGGAAGGTTTATATGGAGAAGGTGTGTATAGGGGGTATATGTGAATATGGAGATGTATATGTATAGAATGTATCTGTGGGGACATGAATGGGGGTGTGTATGTGGAGATGTGGGGAGTGAGGGTGTATATGGGAGACTGTTTGGGTGTGTATATGTGAGTGTATATGAGCTAATGTAGGGGTGTGTGTGGGTGAGGGGGGTGTACGTGTCATCAGAGAACTCATGTCCATACACATAGGAAGAGACAGGAAAGAGCTGTGTCAGCCCCAGCCCTGGTTCCAGCAAGGTGACCAGGCATATCTCTGCATTTATTCTGTGCTCTCTCGGCTGTACAATGAGCATGTATCTTCCTAGGTTTTAGTAACTGTTTTATTAAAATAGAATAAAGCATAGGGCTCTCCAATTCAGGGTTCTCACAGCCCCCACTGGGAAGCTCGAGAACCATCTGGATTCTTCACCAGTGGTCTCTACTCGACTGGGGTGTGGGAGAGGGGACCCTGGGACTTGACTGGGGTGTGGGGCATGGGAGATGGGGCCCTGGGACTCATCTGTGGTGTGGGGCATGGGAGAGGGGACCCTTGTTCATCTGCAATGGATTTCTTCAGCTAGAAATAGCCTTTCTCTCAGGTGACCTCCTTTCCCAGGAACTCATCCACTGGGTTGGGCAGACTGGAATGGGTGGCCGAGGGCAGCTCCTCATGAGATGTTGTTGACCTAACCATGGGCTGCCCCTACAGTGTGAGTATGAAACAGAGTCATGAGAGCAGAGGGCACAGACATTTTGAAGGCAGAGGCCCTATGTGGCCTACAGGGAAGGGCTGATAGGCAGGCCGCTGGGTCCAACTCTTAGCTTCTCTAGCCCTCCCTAGCTTTGTGGCCTTGGGCCAATCGCTCATCTGTTCTGGGCCTCAGCTCCCTTTTTTGGTAAACAGGATGGTAATAGGTCCCGTGTGAGTCACAGGGCACAAGGAAAGTTCTCCAGCATTTACCCTTGCGGTCAGTATTTCTCTGAGGGACCCAGACCTGGCACAGGCCCCACAGGTGACGCCCAACACCTTGCAGCTGGGGCCATAGCTGGTGATGCTTCAGAGGACCCTCTGGGACAGACACATGTACCCACCACCCAGAAGGAGCATGGCTGGCCCGAGGGCACAGAGCAGCACCAGAAGGCCAAAGAACCCCACTCCATCTTATATCCACCCACAGTGTCATAGACACAGGTCAGGGTGGTGGCCTCTGGTCCCATCATTCTCCTGCTCAGTCCAGCACCACCACTGTCCCCATCCTGCTCCAACCTGTGCTTGTTTTCTGTGCTGTTCTATTAATTATTTTTCTCCTTGCTATGACAATCTCCTGACAAAAGCAACTTAAGGAAGGAAGGGC